TATAAAAGCAGCAGAAAAGGAGGGGCTGGGGATGTAGCTCAGTTGGTAGAGCGGTCGCTCACCTAGCATGCATGTTCACCGAGTCCAGGGTGTGAGGCCCAACACCGAATAAAACCAAGTGTGATGCCAACTGTGGATCGTGGGGAGGGAGAGGCAGGAGGAACAGGAGTTCAGGTGCATACGGTGTTGAAGGCTAGCCTGGGATACATGGCTTTAAAAAAAAAAAAGCAGAAATCGGAGACGGTGGCAAGCGCGGGTGATACGATTACAGGTCGTTGGTCTAATGCGGCTTTTGAGCATGAGCACATTTGTAAAATGGGCTTAAAACAAAAAGCCCATTTCTATTTTGACTAGAAATTTCGTGTCTGTAAAGGTATTGTTGGAGAATTTCCTCCAATGTTTAGAAGTTTGTTTTGAGCCCACTGATTGATTAACCCACAGCTGTGTCTGGGTGCGCAGCAAGCTTCGCTGTGTGGTTGCTAGGAGACGATTTCTCCGGGACAGGCTTGAAGAGCTGGGGGCCGGGGCCCCTTGGCCACAGCGCCACCAAGCGGCGCTCTGCAGAACTGCAGAGACTGCGTTGGCTTCCCAGTTCTCAAGCCATCTCTTCCAAATGAATTAGGAAGAGAACAGAGCGGAATTGTGTATTCCTTTCAGTCTGCATGCGCGGGGAACTTTGTTCTCCAATAGACGAATCATGCTGCAGTTAGAATGGTGAGGTTGAAAAGACACAGAACTGGTTGCCAAAACTTACTACTTATTTAAATTTTTTGACTGATTTATTTTTATTTTATGAGTGTTTTGCTTGCAAGTATGTAAGTGCACGCTTGCGTTCAGTGCCTGCAGAGGCCAGGAGAGGGCATTGGATACCCTGGAACTGGAGTTAGGGATGGTTGTTAGCTGCCATGTGGGTGCTGGAAAACCAAACCTGGGTCCCCTGCAAAACCAGCCAGTGCTACTGGGACATCTCTCCAATCCCTAGTTTTATTATTTATTTATTTATTTATTTATTTATTTATTTATTTATTTATTTATTATTTTTGTTTGAGGTAGGGTCTTCCCGTAGCCCCAGCTGGCCTGGAATTCACTATGTACACCAGAGATCCACCTGCCTCTGGGATCAAAGGTGTTCACCACCATGCTTAGCTTTGTGTGCGTGCGTGAGTGTGTGTGTGTGTGTCTTTTTTTGAGACAGCGTCTCCTTGTAAGCCCCAGCTGGCCTAGAATTCACTATGTAGACCAGGCTGGCCTCAAACTCACAGAGATCTGCCTGCCTGTGGCTCCCAAGTGCTGGAATGATAGGCGTTGTGCCACCATGCCCAGCTGTCTATTTTTTTATGAAACATAGGCTTACTCTGTAGCCTAAGCTGGCCTGGAACTCAGTGTAGTCCAGATTGGCCTCAAATTTACGATACCCTTCCTGCCTCGGGCTCCCTAGTGCTACAGGATCACAGACATGAGCCACTACATGTGGTACTGGGGACTAACCCTAGAATCTGACATGTCAGATAAGCACTTTACCATTGAACTATATTCCAAGTTCTCTTTTTAATTTTTTCTCTTTTAAATAGCTCCTTACTAATTTGCCTAGGCTGGTTTTGAACTCACTCTGTAGCTCTGGTTGGTCTCGAACTTCTGCTCTTCCTGCCTCAGTCTCCCAAGTAGCCTGGATGGCAAGTCTACACTGCCAGTCTTGACTTCCCTGCTTCTTTTACATACGGTGGTTACAGAAGAGTGGAACCTCAAATCTGGCCCTGGTCAACTATCTCCAAACGAATCTGGTTATAGGGTTTCAAAATGAGTCTGAGCAAATGACAGCAAAGATGGCAAGCCCGGAGGAGGGACTGCCCCCTGGAGGAGGTAAAACTGCCAACCTTAGGGGTGGCTGGTACAGCTCCGTGTACAGCACTTGCCTAGCAAGCCTGAAGCCCGGTTCAATCCTAGCACAGAAGGGGATAAAAAGTCTAGCCTAACTGGCAAATGATTGTTTTCCTCTTAAGTGGTGGAAGACAAAATGGGTACAACTGTCCTTCCTGAGCAAGAAGTCTGGCCCAGGGAATCGGCTTTGGGCTTGTGATGAAGGACTGGGAGCTGTCAGAACAGGACCACATAATTCTCGGAGTGGCTGTTGGAGGTAAATGTGAACTGTGAATGTTGTTTTTGTGTCCCTGAGGCTTAAGCCAATCATCAGCCTGTGCACTGCCTCCAGTGTCTTCTACTTCAGGATGAAGTGGGATGTCAAGAATTCCATTGTGAGGGCTGGAGAGACGGCTCACACTTAAGAGCACTGGCTGCTCTTACAGAAGGCTTGAGTTTGGTTCCCAGCACCCACATGGCAGCTAACAACAGTCCTTAACTCCAGTTTCAGGGGGATCCAATGCCCTCTTCTGGCCTCCACAGGCACTGCACAACACAGGTGCACATGCACACATGCAGGCAATACACTCATACATGTAAAATAAATAATATTTTAAAAAATGTTAAATGCAAGACTAGCCTGGGCTACATAGGGAGACTGTATCAGAAAAGGGAAGGGGAAATCCATTTAAAAAGACAACAACAACAACAACAAAAAAAAACAAAAAACAAAAAACCCCAGTGTAGTAGGCCTACCATCAGCACTGAGGAGGCAGAAGGAGAATCCCAATTCCAGCCTGAGGTACACCCTGTCTCAACAACAAAAGCAAAAAATTAAATTTAAAAAATTAAATAAAAAAACAAGAGGGGCTGGAAAAAGTCTCAGCACTTAAGAGCACTGGCTACCCTTACAGAAGACCCAGGTTTGGTTCCCAGCCCCCACAGGGTAGCTAACAGCCATCTGTAACTCTAGTTCCAGGGGATCCAATGCCCTCTGTGGCCTCCACAGGCATTACATGCGTGTAGTGCACAAATATACATGCAGGCAAAATACTCATACACATAAAATAAAAATCCATAATAAAGCCAGGTGTGATGCTGCACATTGGTAACTCCATCATTTAGGAGGAGGAGGACCAGGAGTTCAAGGTCAGCCCTTGTCTTTACAGTAAATTCTAGACCAGCCTGAGCTACATGATACTGTCTGAAAAATCAAAATCAAACAATAAGTAAATAAACTGGTGAGATGACGGTTTAAGGTGCTTTACTGGTGACTTGAGTTTGATCTCCTGAATCCATGTAAAGGTGGAAGGAGCGAGCCAACTCCACAGAGTTGTCCTGTGACCTCCACACACGTGCTGTGGCATGGGCACAGCCACATACATCAGGAAGCTCACAACCACCTGTAACTCCAGTCCCAGGGTATGTGATCCCCTCTTCTGACCTCTGTGGGCATCCACACATGTGGCATACACTCATACAGACATACACACATACACACAAGTAAAAATAAAAAAATAGAGTCCTCATGTCTGAATTTTTAGGAGAAAGGGTAGTCAGTCCTTGCCTTTGGTATCCTGGTGGGTCATGGTAAGACCACAATAGGGCCAGGAAGTTGAAGGTCTGCCTGAACTGCAGAGCACAGAGAAATGCCAACTGCCACTTCTCCCTTTGGCAAGCCCAGCAAGGAAATGTGCTCACTTGCTTGTAAAATACTCAGAAAAGGGAGTTAAACGTCTTAGGGAGTGTCTGCACGGGTTACAGATGTAAGGGAAACATCGCATTGGTTCAGGCATCAAGGTTTGGGCCAGTGAGAAGGCTCCGTGGGTAAAGGTTCAGCTGCGAAGCTGATGACACAAGTTCAATCCCCAGTACCCAGGTAGGAGAGAGCTAACTCCTCCTGCAGGCTATCCCTCTGACCTCTACAAGCACACCATGGCACACATGCCCCCCATACACAAATAAAACAATGAATTTCGGGGCTGGAGAGATGGCTTAAAAGTACCTAGTTGCTCTTGAAGAGAACCTAGGTTCAGTTCCCAGCACCCATATGGTAGCTAATAACCATTCAGTTCCAGAGGATCTGACACCCTCCTCTAGCCTTCTTGGGTACCAGGCACACATGTGATGCGCTTACATACATCTAGGAAAACACTCGCATACATAAAATAAAAATAAATCAAAATAATTTTGTCGTTTTTTTTGAGTCAGGGTCTCCCTGTAGCCCCAGCCGGCCTGGAACTCACTATGTAGACCAGGCTGGCTCCCATCTCACAGAGATCTACCTGTTTCTGCTTCCACAGTGCTGGGATTAAAGGTGTACACCAGCACACAAGGCTTAAATAAAAATTTTAAAAGAATTTTCAAGGTTTTACAAGCTGCTTAAAGACGGACAAAAACAAGAAAAAGAGGAAAGTAGGCAAAGCTTAGCACTCTCTGCCTTAAAGCCCTGATTAAACTCCATCACAGGGGACTTCCCTGCAAGCTCCATCAGGTTCTACCACATGGAGTGGCTTTCACAGTGAGTCTGGCCAGTGGTTACTTCCACTGTACATAAAAACACACACTATGTTAACTCTTCCTGAATGTGGCTCAGCTGGAGAAATGCAAGTTCCTGAAATGTACAACATGGGGATTTCAATGGAACAAGAGCCACAGTTGGGGCTGGAGAGTTGGCTCAGTAGTTAAGAGCACTGACTGCTCTTACAGAGGACCTGGGTTCAATTCCCAGCACCCACGTGGCAGCTACAAACCGTCCTTAACTCCAGTTCCAGGGGAATCCGAAGCCCTCTTCTGACCTCCAAGGCACTGCACGACATGGGTGCTCTCACATACATGCAGGCAATACACTCATATACATAAAATAAAAATAACAAATATTTTGAAAAAGCCCAGTTAAAGAGCGCACATGCGCGTGCTGTATGTGCATGTATATGTGTGGTTAGTATGCGTGTGTGTGTGTGTGTGTGTGTGTGTGTGTGTGTGTGTGTGTGTGTAAGACAACTTTCAGGAATCAGTTCTCTCCTCCACATGTGGGTTCCAGGGATCAAATTCTAGGTTTTCAGATGTGGTGGTAAATACACTTACCCACTGAGCCATCTCGCTGGTCCAGGAAAGAGCTCTAGTGGAAGGAGCTGACCAACAAAAAGGAACTCGAACAAAAGCCACAAAGACCAGAGCCAATAAGTAAATGCATTTTAAAAAATAGAAAGTTGAATGAAAAAAATATGGAAATCACTTCCAACTTTATATTTAAAGTTTTTTAATCTCTGGCACAGAACAATAATTGAAAGAATTCTGAGAAATTAGACAAAAGTATTTGGTGGGTTTGAGTTGATGGGCCAGGCAAGCTTCTTTTCCTTGGCTTCTCGGTCAAATGAATCATAGATGGAGTCTTTGGTCACTGTTCTGGACATGGGAGGGATTTCTGAAATGCCAACGTAGTTTTTTTTAGCCATCCTTGAGCTGGTTGTGATGGTATAGGCATTGCTTCGGTAACATTTCATGGAGGACATGCAGAAAGTCTCTTTCATCCCTCTCCTAAAATTGGCATTATAAATTGAATACAGCGTAGGTTTTGAGGCAGAAGAACTGAAGGATATCCACGTGATGGCTGTAAAAACGAGCGAGCTTTTCTTATAGTCTTGCTCCTGGGGGTGCCAGAGCTGAGCCACATGAAATGGCAGCCAGGAGAACAGAAACAGCAGGTTTAAGATGAGGAACATCTTAACCGTTTTCACCTTTGTCCTTGGGACAATGTTCATCGTCCTCCTCAAGGTTCGGCCATCAGTGCCTATTCTCCAGATGTACTTTATGACCTTCTGGTAAAATAAGATTATAAGGACAGAGGGAATCACAAAACCCACCAAGAAGTGGATGACAGTATAGGCAGTTCCCTCCCAGGAGGAAGGGAGGAAATAGTTACAATGGCTGTCCCAGTTGGAGCCATAGAAGAAGAACACGGGTGTCAGGAAGGCTGCATCCAAGATCCACGATGCTGCGATCATCTTCTTGGCCTTTTCTCTGGACACCTTGAAGCTCAGCGGGTAGACAATGGTGTAGAAACGGTCTATGCAGATCGAGAGGAGAACGTAGATCTGGACGCCTGGAGTGAGATACTGGAAGTACCGCACCACCTTGCACATCACACTGCCCAGGGTCCACCTTCCCATGGTGAACTGCAGCAGGACAAACGGTGTGCTGGCCACGCTGATGAGAAGGTCGGCACACGCCATGGAGACCACAAAGTAGTTGGTGGTGGACTGAGTCCTCCTACTCCTGTGGATAACCAGACAGACCAGGGAATTGCCAAAGATAGAAAACAACCACAGAGCACCAAAGAAAATGCTGGCTGTGGCCACTTCCCCGGGTCTCAGTCCATACTGAAGGTCTGTTCTGTTGCTCATCCAGCTGTGTTCCTCATACAATTCCATGAGGCCATGGGGAGGCAGAGGCGCAGCCGCTTGAGTGCAGCTGTGGTTCTGGGGGGGCACCAGCAGGGTAGCAGTAACCACAGATGGCTTGCTGTTATCCATTCTGTGAGCAAAAACCATAGTCACTCCTTTTCTCTTAGTTCTGGATAAGACAAGAAGCATGAGACCTCCTGTTAAAACGGTGTCACGTCAGCTGGCTACTAACACAAACCACATTATTCTTTGAGACAAGGTCACTGGCTGGCCAGCAAGCTTTAGGTGTTCTCCCTATGAAGGTTTACCTCCACAGCATGGGGATAATGGCTGCATGCAATAGTGCCCAGCTTTTAAGTGAGTTCTAGGGGATCAAACTCAGGTCCTCATACTTACATGGCAAACACTTTACTGACTGAAGCATCTCCCCAGCCCCCAAAGTATTATTTTCTAAATATCTTTATATATATATATATATATTATATATATGAAACTTTTTTAAAATTGTATATGTATGTGCTTTGCCTGCAAGTATGTTTGTGCACCACATATATGCAGTGCCCAGAAGAGAGTGATAGACCCCTGGAACTGGAGTTATGGATGGTTGTTAGCCACCATGTTGGTGCTAGGATCTGAACCTGGGTCTTCTGCAAAAGCAGCTCTTAACTGCTGAGCCATCTCTCCACCCTGAGAGATGGTATTTTCTGCACTCATGGTTTGGAATGTGGTAGACACTGGGTGAGAATGTGAACCAAGTCAAAATGGCTGTGCTACTCTGTTTATCACTCAGTCCTTCACTGTATCATTTTCCAAGTCTGTTTTGCACTTGTTTTAGCAATACACTGAAATTTCCCAGGGAGCTCTACAAAATACTGATGCCTGGGTCCCACTCCCCAGCTTCAGGATTCTAATTTAGGGGGTCTGGAGCCAGAAAGCATAAGGAGGCATCAAAATTCCCCAGGTGATGCTATTGTTCAGCCACAATTAAGAAACATGACTTCGGATCACTTTTCCATGTTTCTGTCTTCCCACTGAATTATGGGTTCTGGGGGAGGTGTTAATCTTCTCTCCGTGCTCCACAGAGTCAACTGAAGTACTTTGCATTAATAATTGCTTATTAAATATTTACTAAATTGAATCCATAAGGACAGAGAACTCAAACTTCTCCTGTTGTGGCTCTGCTGGGAGAGTTCAATGCAGGAATAGAAGATCATTGTGTATCCTTGGGGTGAGACATGGTGACCACGGGAACAGAGGAAAGCAAGACTCCAATTAGGGCAGATGAAACTGGTCACTCAGACCCGGGCGTGGTGGCGCACACCTTTAAGGCACAGGCATGTGGATCTTTGTGAATTTGAGGCCAGTCTGGTCTACATAGCAAGTTCCAGGTTGGCTGGGGCTACAGGGAGACGCTGTCTCAAAAAGACAAAAAAAAAAAAAAAAAAAAAAAAAAAAAAAAAAAAAAAAAAAAAAAAAATAAAGAAAGAAAGAAAGAAAGAAAGAAAGAAAGAAAGAAAGAAAGAAGAAACGGGTCACTCAGGTAACTGCTGCTAAGGGAGAAAAGAGAAAAGAGGGCGGTTAGGGTCCTCAGACAGGTCCTGCACCCCTGCCCAGGAAAGAGTCTGCTGCTGCATTAGCATCTAGGGTCCCAAGGTAAAAATTTATAAGGCTTCCATTAAATTGGAAATCAATGGCTATCAATAAATGTTTCTGAACCAAAGGGCTGTCTGTTAGCAATGATGTCCAGAAGCACCCGTACATGTCATTTTGGGAATGACATACATGTCACCCGTACATGTCATTTTGGGAATGACAATGAATACAAAAAGTACAACATATCTTTGTTGTTAATGCTGAGACATTCCTCCTGTTCAGGGGACTGAACCCGGGACCTCATGTACACTGTGCACACGCACCAAGCTATATACTGCAGCTTCATGGGACACTCTTAAATGGGCCTCCCAAAAGATCAGTTCTCTGGAAAACCAAACCAAACCCATGTTTGTTCTTGCTGTTTACCATTTGACTACTGCCAGACACAGTGAAGTTACATGTTAACTTACAGTTTTCTGTCTGGCAGAAAGAATAATCCCAAAGGTTAGGGACTTGCTGCCTTGTAGGACTTAACGAGTTTTGTGTCTACCAGTTGACACTGTTTTAATGATGGCATGTTTTTAATGCCCATCAACGCCCATTCCTTCAAAAGCTCTTGGAACCAGCCTTATCTTATTGGGTCCTTCAGGAGTAAGTGAATACATCTTTGATATATGCTCATCCTGTATTTCTATAAATTATAAGTCAACTTTTTGAAACTCATACATGGATGGAAGGACGGGTGGATGAAGAGATGAAGAAATGCCTGGGAGCTGGTGAGAGGAAGTGAAGAATCACATAGAATAGAGGAGCACAGATCACCAACTTTGTGTCCTGCCAAGGGCTGTTCCCGGCTAAGCATATTCATTGCTGGTTAGGCAGTTTCTTGATGCATGATCTTGTGCCATCCAGGCTGGCCTTACATTTCCTCTGTAGCTGAGGATGACCTTCAACTCCTCATTCTCCTGCCTCTGCCTCCCAAAAGCTGGGACTACAGACATGCCGTACCAGATCCAGCAAGTTCTTAAACTCAAAAACCTATTAGGCCAGTCATGGTGGCACACAGCTTTAACCCCACCACTCAGGAGGCAGAGGCAGGTGGAGCGCTGGAGTTTGAGGCCAGCCTTATCTACATAGCAAGTTCCAGGCCAGTCAGAGCCACATAGTGAGACCCTGTCTCAAAACAAACATGGTCAAGCACCTATGGTCAAGTACCTCATGTGTGTAACCCTTTGAGGCAGGTGATATTATTAGTGGTATTTCACAAGTGAAAAAGGCCTGAAGTTCTTTCTGTAGCTCACATAGCTGGAAATGGGGGTCACTTCAGGACTGCCTCACTCCAAAGCCCTTACTCTCACCTATTACCAGGTTTCATGTCTGGAGTTCACAAAGGGCTTGATCTGAATCCAGAAGGTCGAACCTGTACTTGGGTAGATGTGTCTGGACTCCTCATCCAAACATATAGTTATCCCCCCAGCCTTTTGCCTGGTTTGAGAGCTCAGAAATATGACATGCCTTGCCTTAGATGAGGAACTACTGACAGTAGATGGCTGCTAGGGGACCGGAAGTCAGTTTTCTTTAGGGGTATGGTAGGTTGACCATGGGATGGCTGCACACCCATGCATATGGGCAGCACAAATTAGTGGGAGATATTCATATTCATTCACATATGAATAATGTTGAGAGGTGGATGTGGGGGGTCTGGGAAGAGTTAGAATGGGGAGGAGGAGATGAATATGGCTGAAATACATTGTATGTCTGTATGAAACTCTCAAAGAATATAGTAAAAACAGTATACTAAGAAAAGAAGTATGTGACATGATGACTTTAAAAAGATCACACCCTCCATGTCCCACATGGAAACAGCATCGAAAGGCAATGGATGGGCTTGTCTGGAGATATGCCTGTCTTCAGAGTAAAGAATGTGAGAGTATGGAAATGTAGTATGGCTTGACTAACTTCCTTTTAAATGCTAGACATGGGCTTTAATTGAATTGAGAAAAAGGTAGTCAGTAGTATTATCCAACTAAAAACCTGTTTTTAAATTTGAATTGTTTTAGAAAATATTATGGTGACAGGTACTTTTTCTTAAACCATTCCTTATACTGTGGGCTTGTATTACCTGTACATAAAAAGAGAAATGCCTGGGATCATAGGGATGACTCAGCAGTTAGGAGCACCTGTTTGTTTCCCAGCACCCACAGCTATCCATAACTCCAGTTCCAGGAGATTCGGTGCTCTCTTCTGGCCTTCATGGGCACTGAATGTGCATGGTGCGCTTACATACATGCAGGCAATACACTCATGCACATAAAATAAAAATAAATAAATAAAAAAATTTAAGAGAAATCCTGTAACAATGGTGGGCTGGGACTGAATTGTATGGCCTCCCCAGTTAACTATACATTTCGTCCCAACTCCAGAGTCAATGACATCATGTTGATATGTGTAATTAACCAGCTATGGTAGAAATGTTGACACCACAGAAATAGACAAATATGGTAATTTCTTTTTCTTTTTCTCTGCAGAACCATCTACCAAACATTTTCTATCATGCCACTTCTAGGAAAACTGGGTTCACAACAAATTCCTGAACTTAGAGAGGTTTCAGCAGCCCCATGGGGCTCTTTGAAAGCTTTGTGATACTGGCTTGCTTTCTGTCCCTGAGCTAAGGTACTGGGGTGGAAACACTTAGCTAAATGCTTTATAGAACTACTTAAGGCCCAGATAGCCACCAACACCACTATAGTGGGGAAATAGAAAAACCAAAGACAGTAACACATGTGCTTACTACATGCCACCCAGGTAGAACTGCCACATAAAACAGCATACCTAACTGTGAATTTCAGATAGTTTAAAAAAAAAATTTCTGCTGGGTGTGGTGGCACCTGCCTTTAGTCCCAGCACTCAGGAGGCAGAGGCAGGCAGATCTCTATGAATTCAAGGCCAGCCTGGTCTACATAGTAAGTTCCAGGCCAGCTGGGGCTATAGGGAGAACCTGTCTCAAAAAGACCAAAAAAAATTTTTTTTAGCCAGGTATGGTGGTGCACGCCCGACTCTAAAAAATATTTATTATTTTTATTTTATGTGTATGAGTATATTGCTTGCATGTAAGTGCATCCATATCATGCAATGCCCATAGAGGCCAGAAGAGGGCGTTGGATCCCTTGGAACTGGAGTTACAGATGGTTGTTACAGACCATATGGGTGCTCTTCAAACCTGGGTTCTCTTCAAGAGCAGTCGGTGCTCTTAACCATTGAGCCATCTCTTCAGCCCCCAAATTTCAGATAATTTTTAACTTAAGTACATTCCAGGCAACTTTTAACTTATAAGTCATCCTATTTTTGTTTGATAAATCTGGAAAACTCTATACCCACAACATAATCTGCTAGAAAAAAAATCTTTCATTTCAACTGTATAAGCAAATTTAAAATATTTTATTTATTATTTTTATTTTATGTGCATGCAATGTATTGCCTGCATGTAGGTAAGTGCACCCATGTTGTGCAATGTCCATGGAGGACAGAAGAGGCTGTCAGATCCCCTGGAATTGGAGCTGGACAGTTGTTAGCTGCCATGTGGGTGCTGGGATTTGAACCCGGGTCTTTTGCAAGAACAGTCAGTGTTCTTAACCACTGAGCCATCTCTCCAGCCCCGATATAAGCAAATTTAAAAGTGATTATGTATGTATGCTTTGGAATCAGAAATAACTGAATACGTAAGTGTGTGTGCGCACATACATGTGGCATGAAAGCCAAAGAGAGATTATCTGGGGTAGGGAGAGGACCAAAGGGAGGGGTGTGCATGGAAGGGTGGTGGGAAAGGTGAGTATAGCAACAGACAGTGACATATACGTATGTATGAAAATGTCATTGTTTTGTACAATAACTAAAAATTTTAAAAAGGGGACTAGAGAAATGGTTCAGTGGTTAAGGGCACTGGCTGCTCTTGCAGAGGACCCAAACTCAATTCTCAGCACACACACTAAGAGGCTCACAACCATTGTAACTCTAACTCCAGGGAATCCAACACCCTCTCTAGCTTCCACAGGCACCTGCATGTACACACAAACACACACATAAAAATAGATAATAAATTAAGTACAAATTTTAAGACGGTATTTGAAGTATAAATGCTACTATCAGTTACTAACTGAACGACATTGAACATGTTACTTAACTACCTTTTTTTTTGAAACAGGGCATCACGTAGCCCAGGCTAACATCTAATTTATGCCCTCTTCTGTCCCCAATGCGCACCTGGACACAGATGGTACACAGACAGACAAAGCAGCCACTCATACATAATATAACTAAAAACAGGTATTTTAAAATACATTTAAGAGATAAATAGGTCAGTGAGATGGCTCAGCGGATAGAAGCACTTGCCATGTTAGCCTGACAGTTAAGATCCCCAAAACCTATGTAGAGAGAAATGGTTCCCAAAAGTTGTCCTCTGACCTCCACACCGGGTCTTCTGAAAGAACAGTCAGTGTTCTTAACCACTGAGCCTTCTCTCCAGCCCCAAGTATAAGCAAACTTAAAAGTGATTATGTGTGTATGCTTTGGAATCAGAAATAGCTGAATACATACATGTGTGTGCACACATATATATGACATGAAAGCCAAAGGGAGATTATGTGTCCACACACCATGTCCACCTTCACATACACACAGTAATAAAATAATTTAAAAGATATGGATAATAAAGGCAAAGTCTTTATTAACATGTAAATGATTTTTAAAGAGCATATATTTTTACATTTTATCAGCAGTGGCCTCTTCAGTGACCCTATCACTAAACTCCATGGTCTTCGAGGAGATGAATGGGGGCCTATCCTGTGACACACTGGTCTTGGCAAGTGGTGGTACAGTGTTGAGGCACTAGTGGTTACAGGAGTGTGAAGATGACTTTTTTTTTGTCTTTTTGAGCCGGTCTCCCTGTAGCCCCAGCTGTCCTGGAACTCACTATGTAGACCAGGCTGGCCTTGAACTCACAGAGATCTGCCTGCCTCTGCCTCCCGAGTGATAGGATTAAAGGCATGAGTCACCATGCTGGGCCGAAGGCGGCATTTTAACAGTGATTCTGCCCAGAGCTCAGCAGAACCCAACTGTGCTGGACTACAGGCCAGTGACTGAGGGTGAGACATTCGGACCTACCCTGACCCCAGACTTCTGGGGAGAAGCTACCCTTTAAAAAAAGTTGGGTGGGTGGAGTGGTGAGCAGGTAGGTGTGTGTGTGCCACTGTGCCAGTGTAGAGTTCAGAGGACAACTTGGGGGAGTTGGTTTTCTCCTTCCATCGTTGGGTCTGTGGCTAAACTCAGGTTGTTAGGCTTGGTAACACATACCTTACCCACTGAGCCATCTCACCAGCCCCAGAAATTACCCCTTTTTTGGTGCTTCCCAGTACATTCTTCGCAACACAGCCAGTGTACCGCTGAGGCAAATCTGGCCTTGGATTGCCCTCTAGTGCTCTAACAGTGGCAATACACCAACAATGGGCTGGCAGAAAACCAGACTTAAGCTGCATCTGGTGCTAAAACAGCAGAAGAGTCTACAGGCACTACTGGCTTGCTCGAACAATTCTGCAGTGATACCAAATTATGAAGTCAGGATTAGATGTCTAATCTTTCAATGTTCAGACAACATCATGAAACTCACGTAAGGGTGGAAGGAGACACAAACCACAAAGTTGTCCTCCGGCCTTTACACATGCACACCACCCATAATAATAAAATTTTTGAAAGTTTTGAAAAAGAGGAACTTTGCTGTTTAATGTAGCTTAGTGCTTTCTTACCATACACCATGCTCACGGTTCAATCCCTAGTGGGGATTTTTTGGGGTGACACAACACCCAGGAAAACATGACCCACCTAAAGGACAAAATAAGAAACTGGCCACAGTGTAATCATTTGGGCATCTTTCTCAGATGGAGAACTAATTTCCTTTTACAGAACTGAGAATTGCACGTAGGACCTCATGTATACTAAGTGCCATCACTGAGCACATTCTCAGCCCTCTTTTCCCTTTTGGTTTGGAGACAGTATCTCACTAAGTGTTCCCAGACCTCACTCTGCAGCCAGGCAGGCACCCAACTTTTGATCCTCCTGCTTCAGCCTCTCAAGTGACCACAGGCTTGCACTACTGAGACTGACTTAGATAAAGAACAAAGGGGGTGGGGAAATGGTTTGGTAGGTAAAGTATTTATCATGCAAGCATGAGGACATGAGTTCAAATCTCCAGAATCCACATAAAGCATGGCATGATTGTGCACATCTATAATCCCAGTCCTCCTATGAGGAAAAGGGAATCAGAGACAGGAAACTCCATGGAAGTTCCTGGACTAACTAGCCTGACATAGTAGAGAACCACAAGAGACACTGTCTCACACAAAGTGGAAGGCAAGGACCACATCTGTACTTGTCATCTGATCTCCACAAACATACATGTTATATACCACACTCACACACAAGTGTGCACATACACACAAAATACTTAAGGGAAGATTTAAGGGGCTAGGGAGATGGTTCACTTGGTAAAGTACTTGTCATGTAAGCATGAAGACTTGAGTTCAGATTCCCAGCACCAACTTAAAAAAGCAGGTATGGTGGTGGTATGTGTCTGTGATCCCAGGGTTTAGCAGTGGAGACAGAAGGAGTCTAGGGGCTTGATAGCTAGCCAGTCTAGCCAAATCAGGGAGCTCCACATTCAGTGAGTCTCAAAAAATAATATTTAGAGACAGCGGAAGATACCTGATCTTGACCTCTGGCCTCCACATGTGAGTATACATCTGTAAGAATTTGTGCATATACAAACACATATACAAAAAAAAAGAATTTAAAATTGCTATTTTTAGCCAGGTATGGAGAATAACTGTAATCTTAGCACTTAGGAGGTGGAGGCAGGAAGATCAGGAGTTCAAGGCTATCCTTGGCTACATACTGAGTTGAAGGCTAGCCTGGCTATAGGAAACCCTGTCTTTAAAAAAAGAAAGAAAGAAAAAGGCCCAACTATATGCTGCTTATAAGAAACTCAATTCACTTCTAAGGATACATATAGACTGCAAGTAGGCATAGAGAGTAAAATAGTTCATGCAAACAGAATCCAAAGGAAAGTAAAATTAGTTGTGTATCAGGTAACATTGATTGAAAATCAAAAGCAGCAAAAATGGACAAGGAAGGTCATTATATAATGATAAAGGGGTCAATTCAGTAAGAGGCATGGGGGTTGGGGATTTAGCTCAGTGGTAGAGCACTTGCCTAGCAAGCACAAGGCCCTGGGTTCAGTCCTCAGCTCAGGGGGGAGGGGCGGGGGGAACAAGGCAGTAAGAGGAAGGACAATTCTAAGCTTCTCTGTATCCAATATCAAAGCACCCAAATATACAAAGCAAACATTAGTAACCCTAAAGGGAGAGGGACACTCCAACACAGTAACGTTGGTGACTTTAACAGCCCACTCTCAGCAATGGATCCTCCAGGTGTAAAATGAACGTGGAAGAACAGTTTAACAACACCACAGCTCAACTATTTAACTCCCTCCCTCCCTCCCTCCCTCCCTTTCTCCCTCCTTCCTTTCCTTTCTTCCTTTGACAGGACCTCACATACCCTAGACTAGCCTCAAACTTATAATATAGTGGAGAATGACCCTGAACTTCTAATCCTTCTGCCTCCACTTACCAAATGCTGGGATTACAGGAGCTGCCTCTAATCCTACCCCTGGACAGGACTGAGTCAAGAAAATTGCAAATTTGAGGCCAGGCTAGGCTACATAGTAATTTGCAGGTCAGCCTAGGCTACACAGTGATTTGTAGGCCAGCCTAGGCTACATAGTGATTTGCAGGCCAGCCTAGGCTACACAGTTGATTTGCAGGCAAGCCTAGGCTACAACATAGGAAGACTCTGTCTCAGAAAATAGACTATAATAACAGTGCTCGCTTCAGCAGCACATATACTAAAATTGGAACAATACAGAGATTAGTGTGGCCCCTACAAAAGGATGACACACAAATTCATGAAGTATTCCATATAACGACAGCCAGGCATGGTGGCGCACACCTTTAGTCCCAGAACTTGGGAGGCAGAGGCAGGCAGATCTCTGTGAGTTCAAGGCCAGCTGGGGCTACAGGGAGACTCGATGTGAGTTCAAGGTCAGCCTGGTCTGCAGTGAGTTCCAGGATAGCTGGATCTACAGGGTGACTCGATCTCAAAAAAGACACACACACACACACACACACACACACACACATACACACACACACACACAAAGAATATGTTCAAAGATTGAACCTTGCCTCATGAGCTCATGATTTAAAAACTGAACAAATCAGGTATAGGCAAAATATACCTCAACATAATAAAAATCAAACATAGTAAGACAACAGTAAATACTACTAAGTGGAGAAAAGCTGAAAAATTTTTCCTAAGGCAAGGATGCCTATTTCCATCACTTTTATTTAGTACGGCACCAAAAGTCCTAGCCAGAGCAATCAAAGCAGGAGAAAGAAAACAAAGGTATGTCCAAGCTGGAAAAGAACAAGCCAAACTGTCAGCTTGCAAATGGTATGCTCACATGTATAGAAAACCCCAAAACTCACTGAAAACTTCAAACTAATATGAAAACTCAGCAAAGCTACAGGAAATAAAATTAATACACAAAAACCCAACCTTTTATATACACCGCAAATCATCTAAATTAGTATTCAAGAAAGTAAGTCTCAGGTTAATAACTGCAAAACAAACAAGAAACTTAGGGATACATTTAATCTGAGATGTAAAAGATCATCACAGGGGCTAGAGAGATGGCTCAGCGGTTAAGAGAACGGGCTGCTCTTGCAGAGGACGCAGGTTCTGTTCCCAGCACCCACATGGAGGCTAACAACTGTCTGTAACTCACTATAGTTCCAGGGGATCCAATGCCTTCTTCTGACCTCTGCAGGCATTGCATGACATGGGTGCACTTAAATACATGCAGGCAATACACACATACACATAAAAAATAAAAATTTTAAAAAGATCACTACAATGAATATTATTGTAAAATATTTATGAAAGAAATTGAAAAGGATTCAGGTGAAAGAAAGAAGGCAAATAGGAGGACGGAGGAGAGGGAAGGGAAAGGAGAGAAAGACAATCCTGTATTCATGAGCTGGAAGACTCAGTATCACTAAAATTTCCATGTTAGGGGGCTGGAGAGATAGCTCAGCAGTTAAGAACACTGGTTGTTCTTGCAGAAGACCTGGGTTCGAATCCCAGCACCCACATGGCAGCTAACAACTGTCCATAACTCCAGTTCCAGGGGATCTGATGCCGTCTTCTGACCTCTTCAGGCATTGCAATGACATGAGTGCACATACATACACGCAGGCAACACACTCATAACATAAAATAAAAATAAAAATTTTAATTAGTAAATAGGCATTGCATGACACAGGTGCACTTATATACATGCAGGCATAACACTCAGACACATAAAATAAAAATAATAAATAAAATATTTAAAATAAATTTCCATGTTAGTCAAAGTTATCTACAGGTTCAATGCAATCTCTACCAAAATACCAATGACATTCTTCATAGAATTAGAAAGCAAAACAAAACAAAATGCATCTACCAAATATCAGATTACCAGGCCTCCCAAGTAGCCAAAGTAATTTTGAGTAAATAAATAAAGCAGGAAGCATTGCCCTACTTGACTTCAAAATATACTGTGAAGTTGTAGTAATCAAACCAACATGGTATCTGCATTAAAATATGCACAATCATGGGGCTGGAGAGATGGCTCAGCACTTAAGAACTCTGGTTGTTCTTACAGAAGACCTGGGTTCGAATCCCAGCACCCACTTGCCAGCTAACAACTGTCCATTACTCCAGCCCCAAGGGATCCAACAGCCTCTTCTGTCCTCTGCGGGCATTGCATGACACAAGTGCACTTACCTATTTACTTAACCCACCCCCCCCACACACAATCATAGGTGCCAGGGAGATGGCTCTGAATAAAGGCACCTGCCGCCAAGCCTGTGCTCTATCCCCAGGATGACAGTGGAGAAACCTGACTCCTACAAGTTGTCCTCTGACCTCCAGGTGTGCACCATGGCCTGTGTATCAACACTCCTCAAAAAAAAAAAAAAAAAAAAAAATCTAATTAAATGTAATAAAGATAAAACATTTAAAAAACCACACACAGAGACCAACAGAACGGAACAGAGAACATAGAAGTAAACCCACACAACTACAGCCAACTGATTTTTGACAAGGGTGTTTAGAACATTGGAGAAAGGCCAATCTTCTCAACAAATGGTGCTGGGAAAATAGGATGTCTGCACAAATAAGAATGAAGCCAAATTTTTATTTCTTACCAGGTGTAAAAATCAACTCAAAGTGGATGAAATATCTGAGTAGGCCTGAAACTGCTAAACTACTAGAAGGAAACAGAAAAATGCTTAAAGACACTGGAATGGGCAAGAAATTTTTGGATGGTGCTTAGACCCACCAAAGAACAGTCTCAATAGTGGGAATACCCAGATCAGTTTGACTTGGGGGCATGTCTGTGGCTGATTGTCTTGATTGTTAATTGATAGAGGAGGGCTCAGCCCCTGTGGGTGGCACCATTCCCTAGGCAGGTGGTCCTGGGCTATAGGAGTGAGCCAGCTAAGTGGGGAGAGGGACGGTGCTCTTCTATGGTTTCTACTTTAAGTTCCAGCTTGAGTTCTTGCCCTGACTTCCCTCCATGATGGACTGTGACCTGCAAGCTGAAATAAACCCTTTCCTCCTCTAAGCTGCTTTTGGTCTGTGTTTTATTTCAGTAACAGAAAGGAAGTTATAACAGGTGGGATGCCAGTAGCACAAAAACAAACACAGAAGTGGACAACTGGTAAGATGGCTCAGCAGTTAACAAACCCTTGTTACACTTGCTGCTCTTGCAGAAAACTATATTTCTGTTTCTAGCACTGTGTTGGGTAGTTCACAACCTCCTGCAACTCCAGCTCCAGGGGATCTGAGGCCCTCTTCTGGTCTTCATGGGCACCTGCATGCATATATGCATATGCACACAGACATAACACAGAAGTAAAAATAAAATAAATAAACCTTCAAAAAAAAAATAGATGATAGGGCTGGAGAGACGACTCAGTGGTTAAGGGCAGTGGCTACTCTTGCAGAGGATGGGGTTTGGTTCCCAGCACCCACATAGTGGCTAACAATCATCTGTAACTCCAGTTCCAGGCAATCTAATGCCCTCTTCTGGCCTCCTCAGGCACCAGACATGCATATGGTATACATACATACATACATACATACATACATACATGTAGGCAAAACACTCATACACATAAAATTTAAATTATTAAAATATTTTTTAAAAATAGATGGAATTCCATCATATCAAAAAGACTCTGCTAGAGGCTTCAACTAAGGTGGAGGATTAGAAGCCACCTCTTTACACTACAGTACAGACACTTGCCTTTAATCCCGGCACTTGGGAAGCAGAGACAGGCGGATCTCTGTGAGTTCAAGGTCAACCTGGTCTACATAGCAAGTTATAGGCCAGCTGGGGCTACAAGGAGACCCTGTCTCAAAAAGACCAAAAAAAAGAATAGATTTGATTCCAAAGAAAGCACTGGAAGGTCACACAGGGTGAAAGGACAGCTGAATAGTGCTGAGAAACAGGAGAAGCTCAGCAAAATGGACAGTCACACAGCCCAGCTGACAATTTCCCTTGGAGTGAGGGAGGCAGAAGCCTCATCCAAAAGGCAAGTCAGGTGGTCCAAGCAAAGAGACAGTTTGTCCACAGCCCTCACGAGCATCAAGCCCAGGTTTTGATGATGGCAACTCAAGTGTAACAGGCCAGCAGTGGAGAGGAGTCAATTCCACTGCTCAGACGACTGTGGCAGCACACCACCTACAGAGAGAAGGTATGGCTTAAAACAGAGCTGCCCTGAGCACCCAAGGATAGAGAACAAGTCAGAGAGCCTGAGTTCAACCTGCACTGTCCCAGAATGAGAGGCAGCCTTGAGATGCAATGCATAGAACAGGAGGGCTGGGTGCTGATAAGCCAGAAAGAGCAGGTACCAGCTGGCTCCACACAGGCGGTGAGGCCTCCAGAGGGAGGTGGCTGCTCTGGGTTGGCTAGGAGCTGTCCTTAATTGAGAATCACTTTGGCATTTGATACAGCCTGAGTCGAGGGTCAGGTGCTCTCACAGACTAACATCAACATTTGGGGACACTATTTATGTACGCTAATGTCCTCAATCAAGGTTTCCCAAAAAGCTTTCCTCAAGTTTATGAAACTGACGTTCGATTTGATTTTATACTAACCGTTATTTCTCATGGGCAAATTATGCAAATATATGTGAAAATACAGTCAGACATTTCTGTTTCACATGATTAATGCATATACTTAGTGCCAGTTTTAGACATTTAAAAAATTTATTGTTGTATGCTCAAGCCAGACAAAATCCCAGCACAGACATGGGGAAGTGAGTAAGAAACCCCAACGCTATGTGAGGAGGACCTACTGGCAACTGGTGACTGCTGGGACAGGGAGAGTCAGTCTCATTTAAGGATGAGACTCTTAGTAGGTTGACCAGGCTCAGTGGATGAACCCACACCAAAGGGTATTCGGGGACACAAACCTGACTCTATAGGCCTTAATACACACACATACACACATACACACACACACACACACACACACACACACACACACACACACAGAAATTTGGTGGGGGACTAGAGAGAGGGAGTGCAATGCTGTGGAGGTCAGAGGAGGGTTTTGGATTCCCCTGGAACTGGAGTTAAGGACGGTTTGCAGCCACCATGTGGGTGCTGGGAATCGAATCCAGGTCCTCTGCAAGAGTAGTCAGTGCTCTTAACCACTGAGCCATCTCTCCAGTCCCTCAATTATTTTTTAAAAATAAATCATAGCAAAGTTTGGTAGTTTATTAGTAAGCAATTATTTACAAGACATTTTCTGTCTAGGACTCAGCAATATATTTCAACATCTCTGTCCTGCTATACCAAAAATGCACACCTAA